TCGCTTCTATTTTTGGTGCAGAGCTGGGGGCCTGCGTGCTGGGAGCGGAGCTTGCGGCGCTCCGCGCTGCTCCCGGCGCTGCCGAGGGAATAGTCGGGAGCGTGAGCAACGGCTGCGCTTTCCCGGTGCCGCCTCCTGCCTCCCGCGCGCCAAGGCTGCGGGGCAGGACGCCGTCCCGTCTGGCGCTGTTGGAGGCCATGTGATTTGACAAGTTGCCATTTTCCGCTCTGCTGCCGGCAGGAAAATCCCAGGCTTTCTTCCCCATGTGTTTAAGTGCTCCCGAGCCAGGTGTGGGGTTGGTGGTGGGCAGAGGTGGCTGCTGCTCGTGGCTGCCCTGGGAGGTGCAGGTTTGAGGGCTCCCGCAGCACAAACGGGGACCGTGTTGCCTGTCGCAGCCTCTTCGTGGCACCGTCCAGCTGAGTGGGTTAAAGACGGGCCATCTTCTGGGCACGCCGTCAAAACGGCACCGCGGCAGCACGCTCACGTCGGGCTGCCACCAAATTCTTGCCATCGTGTTTGTTTAAGGAGTGTTTGTTGGTGCTAGGTGTCACCCAGCCGACCTGGAGCTGGGCCGTGTCTGCGGGCGTCTCGTGCGGAGCACGTGCCTTGTTTTCCTTTCCGAGCGGGCAGGAGGAGGGATGTGCAGGTCCCATCGAACACGGTCACCGAGAGGGCTATGCAGCTCTTGCTAAAAGTAGACAAATTAAGAACATGAAGTTGAACTGGTTCCACAAGGAGCAGTCAGCTAAAGCAACGATGTGCACTGTGATCTGAGTATCACAGAGGAGTGGAGATCTTGATCTTAAATTATCTTCACGTTTGAACTGATTCTCCAAGCCTAGCAGACAAAGGAGTTTGGGGATAGGTCTGTCCCTCTGCGGAGCATCCTGCTCCTGTCTCCCTGCACATTAGGACTGTGTGGGACTATTGTTTGTACAGTTGTGCCACTTAGTGGGGAATGGGATAATAATAGGGCCGTCTGTTTAATCAAGGAAGCTTGCTGGGAATGGACTTGGTGAGCTGCTTTAATTTGAGTTTGTGGCTGGCCTGTGAGACAGCTTGTGGGGTGGCTCTGCATTAATTGCACCAAACTCAAGTGGACAGCAGCTGAGCAGCAGCACGGGCTCACAAAGTGCCTTTGTGCCGCGCGGCGTCCACGTGCGCCTTTTGTCGTAGCAGCGAGCAGCTTTTATCCTTTCCGTTTACCAGGCTTAAAAAAATCAATCCAAGTTACTGTGCAGAATTGTTCTTTTTAAATGCTAAAACTTCATTTGAGGAAGAATTCGGATGTCGCCATTAACCAGAAGTTTATTTTCCCCTAGTGAGTCTGTTACCTGACAGTTTAGAAGTGACTTTGCTTTGTAGAAGAAATCGGATGCGACTGTCCAATAAATGCAGAATGCAATTTCCTGTGCAGGACTACATGGATATCTCATCCGTGGGACACTGGAGAGGTACCATGGTGTGCATTTCTTAAATCGTGTCCGCTGTGGATCCGATGCGGGAGGAAGCAGGGAGCTCTGTCGCCTCCGTTCCTGCCGTCCGCTTGTCTCCGTCTCGGCTGTTCGGCAGGGAGGCGAGGCCGGAGCCGGCTCCGTGGAAGCTGCGGGATGGGGAGAAGGCTGCAGTGAAGATCACAATATCTGTGATTTGGGTGCTCCGTTTGAGCTTGAGGGAGGCACGTGCGATTTTTCTCCCCCAGCTGAAACGTAATCAGCTCTCCTCAGGGCCCCAGTTTTCATGGGCCCTGTATTTGGGAGCTGTTTGCTTTGATAACACGAGTTTTTTCCAGTTGAGGCAGACTAAGCATAGCCGACAGACTGAGTTGGTTGTCCTCTCTTGTATGAGAAATATTATGCTTCAAAAAGGAAATAGATAATATTCTTTTCTAGTGGATGGTTCCCATTTCCATGACTTTGCTATCTGCTAAAAACAATCCTTATTTTTGTCACCCGTTGGCAGACGTTTTGAGGCCATAGTAGTGTGGGCATTTCGGGCCCATTGTGTTTTGCTTTAAGTCCTGCCCGGTGAAGATGTAAACTGTAAATCTCTGCAGCGAGGCGGCTGTGAGGAGCTCTGTGCTCGGCGTTGTGCTGCAGTGCAGACCTCGCTAAGGACGGGCCGGGCGCGCGGCCTCTCCTCGCTCCAAGGAGCCCGGGCAGTGGGGACCGCAACTGGACACCAGTTTCTCAGGAGTGATGGGATGGCTCCGTGCACTCGTTAAACAAAAGCAGCAGCTTTCAGAAGTGCGGGGTCACAGCGGCCGTGCAGTAAGCTTGGATTGGACCAGACTTTGGAGCTTCCTAAATAACAGGATCTTCATCCAAATAGCTCCTGCTGCAGAGAAATTGGTTCATTTTAGGTGTTGTAGCACAGTTCCCATCTCTTCTAAGCACTAATGCTCATCTCGGGGATGCTGAGAGACAAGTTACTTTGCAACAGAAAGAAAAAGTGGCACTTGGTCACAATTCAAACAAAAAGAGGTGAATGTATCCTTATTCTGTTGCTGTTCAGTCCTGATTCCAGACTGCTGGGTGGGAATGGGAAGTCCAAGAAAGCTAGTGCAGGTCTCTCCCAGGGGCCTTCCTCGGGGAGCAGTGGGGATCTGGGGGAGCAGGTGGCCTGGCCAGGCTCGGAGCAGGAAATGATCCACGTTCCCATCTCTGCACTGGAATTGATTCATCCCGGGACCGGCCTTGCCGAAGGCGCGCGGCGCTGCCGCGTTGCTTCCCGCTCTATTTATAGCCATGGAAGCGTGCTCCTGAGCCACCTCGGTGCCGGGAACCCGCAGAGCCCTCCTTAAGAAAGGACTGAAGCTGCAATTAAGCGAGGCTGCGCTCGGCGTGTCCGCGCCGTGCGTGTGCATCCTGCTCGGTGCAGAGGCAGCCGCGCTGGGTGAGCTGGCGCCTGGAGGCTCCAGGGCTGCCTCCTCTGCTCCCTGCTGCAGCCCTGGTCTTCACCGCGGGCCCCGCTCCCGGCCGAGGCGTTCGGGCAGGTCCGCCTTCTCTCCGGGTATTCCCTGTGCAGCTGGGCAGATGCTCTCCCAAATTCACAGTGCCTTTCCCGAAGGGTGTGTAACAAGTCCCAGTGTGACAGGCTGCCGCCACCAATTCCTGGTGCTTTGTTCCCAAACAGCTGCTGAACGTTAACAGCTTCTTGATGCTGCGGCCGTAGCCGGCCATTCAAAGGCAAGAGATTCTCCATTTATCAGGAGCTGCCTCAAAGCAACAAGCAACCTCCCTATCTTGAGCGATGTCTCTTGCCGACACAGTCCTGACTAAATTATCTCTTCCTGCCTGTCCTGTTCATGATGGTATCGAGGTTGTAATTTGGATTGGTGTAAGCAAGCTTCAAGGTCATCTCGCCACTTGGTGCAGCGCGCCGGGCCAGGAATAGTGCACTCCTGCGGCCACGCTGCCCGTCGCGAGGAGCTGCTTCGCCTGCGCTCCCTCCGACGGGCTGCGACGCTGCAGGAACCAAAATAGCGACCGCTAAGCAAGGAGCCTGGCTCTGATTTCTTCCCTGCTTGGTTCTCCTTCAGCTGGGCCAGCGGGGCTATTCCTGTTTTTTTTCTACAAAATCTGCTGTGGGGATCCTTTAGCAAGGTGAAAAGGACTTGTCTCCTCGTGGCGAGGAAAGCCTGGCTTTACTGCTAGCACCTATCACTAAGGCGCCCGCGTGCTGACTGCCAGTGAGAGGCCTGGGGACCTCTCACTTTGAGTGGTATCTTTTTGAAGGATAAATACACTTGGTGCAGCACGTAAGTTGGTGTGCAGGAGACTTGGCGTCCTTGCGTGCGTTTGTTCTTAACCTGTTCAGTGCAGCTTAAAGGCAATCCACTGCAAGGGTGAGAGTTTGAGAAGGGGCCAGGTATTCGGAGTCAGTCTGGAGCAGCGAGCTTGGCTGGGCCGTGGAGGGGAGGTTGCTTGGGCAGGGGATACGGGAAACCCATGAGGATGCTCAGACGTTGAGGGAGGAACGCGAACCTCCGCGGGAGGGTGGACAAGTGCTCCGCAAAGCAAATCTCGCGGGCCGCTCTCAGACCTGTAAAGGCACAGGGAAATCCAAGTCCTCAGAGTTAACGAGTGTCCCACCTTACAGTGATGCTTCTTCCTGAAGTGAGTTCATGTCCTCTCTGGTTCTTGGTTCCAGGTTTTTGATTCAAGTACTTGCCCTGCGTCTCTGTTAGCCCTAGAAATGTACACATCTCTCATTTACTTCTTGGCTCAGCTGCCAAATGATTGCTGCTCTTCCAGTCCTGACTTTGAAACCTATTGTTAGGCGTCTTTGAGTGGCTGTTTCAGAAGACATTTGAGCCAGACATTTTATGTGCTTCACAAGGCCCTGAAATCATCTTTCAGTGGGTTTGTTTGTATCCAATAGCTGCATCTGTGAGCACAGGATGTTCCTCCAGTCCTTGGCACACTGCTTGGTAGCCTGAATTCCTTGGGAGTTATCTTCAACTGCAGGCCTTCCCACTTCAAATCAGTCCGGGTAGCCACATAAAAGCTTGCAAATCATGTTCCTCTGTCTCAGCCACTTAACCATCGGGGTCAGGTTTCACACGTGTCCCAGGCATTTGTGCTTAGGAGCCAGTCCTGTAGAGCCTTCTGTAGTGGTGTCCACTGGCATCTTTCCACAGCAGGGAGGTGTAATTATCCCTTACCGGGCCAGGCCGCTGTGGTGGGATGTGGTGGTCACATCCAGCTGGTCTTATGATGCCCGTTGTCTGGGGTTAGTTCTCTAGACAGGGAGAAGTGTCTCTTCCTGAGAGTCATTTTTCCTGTTTGCCCGGATAAGCGCAGCAGAGAGATGTGCTGGGTATCCCTACTCCTTGGTAAGGGTCTGGGTCTGTGGACTGCTGGCAGAGTAGAGGTGCAAATTTGAATAGTGTCTGGAAAAGAAGCTTGTCCACACTAATAGAAATAGCTTGACTTTTGGCTTTTTCTGTTGACTTCATTGTTTTAACACTTTCTCTTTCCATTCCCCCTTGCAGGTGTAATTGCTGACGCTCTGTAAAATGGCTTTACGTTTCCGCGCCTACTTCCCGTACGCCTTACCTGGAGTGCTGGCGCTGCTTGGCTGGTGGTGGTTCTTTTCCCGTAAAAAGGAGCACGGAAACAACCATGCCAGGCGAGCAGTGGCTGGCGGGGGAGTTTTTTGCCTGTGAACGGTTCCTCGCCCCCGGCAGAAGCGCCTGCTCCTCGAGGACTGCCCCTCTCCTCGGAAGAGGAGCGCCCCGGGAATGAGCCCTCGGCCTCCGCGCTGTCCGCAGGGTCGACGACGCCCTCTCCTCTGCATCAGGCTCACGAGAGGGTAGATTTCTCGCAGGATCTTCCAGCCCCAGCAGTAACGGCTGTCCAGCCCAGCGCCCTTGAGGACGACAGTGAAAAACTGGAAAGAACAGACTCTCAAGATGAAAGCAGCGTCCCTGCTTGCGTGTCTCTCCCCCTGGTCTCAAAGAGTGCACAGTGTCACAGCAGTGCTGTGATCAGCCCCAAACAGGATTCAAGCTCTGGTGCAACTGAAGGTCAGCGGCCGTCAGCATCAGTGACGCTGACACGAGAATCTTCGGGGATCGTGGAGAAGGTCGGCAATGCAGAGCAATCCAATGAGTCTTCATTTAAGCCCCCTAAGGAAAACCAGATGCCAGAAACTGTGCTAGCAGATACTGGCTCTGTGACAGCCCTCCGTTTGGGATTGGAAAAGGAAGCCAGTAGACCACTAGCCTTTCACAGTAATGAAGTTGAAGCTGTAGCAAGTCACATGGATTCCATAGTTGGGACGTTATCAGACAGTTGCATGAGGTCTGCCTGTTTAGAGCAGTCCAGGGAAGAAGAAATGTCTGAGTCGATTGACAGTAGTGTGCCTGTGTGTCAGGAGGACACACAGCCAAAAGGAGATGAGTTGGAAAGAGAGAGGATTGAAGGAGTAAGTTTAGACAAAGAAGTTGAGAAAATCGAGCAAGTAGCAATACAGATAATTTCCAAGGTCATTTTGGCAGCAACTGAGGAAGTGCTGTCTGGGTCTGTAAGTGACGTGTCCAGTCGGATCTGCCAGGCTGCAGCCAGTCGCGCTGAGCCACCCCTGGAAAGGGCAAGTGCTGCTGCTCCCCCCCAGGCGCTGGCAGGGGAGCCTAGGGCAGGGGATGAGCACGTTGCTGCTGCCGATGATCCAGCGGTACCTACATCCCCACAACCAGGGGAACGTGATCCGTGTGTGACATATTCCAGCTGTTTAACACACGGCCGTTTATCTAGCCCAGTTCAGGGAGACCCGAAAGACCGTCAGGTAAAGAACTGTGTGCACAGTGAGTCTCCAGGAGCTGGTCGCACTCCTGTTGTGTCCCATGGAGGGTCCCTGGGAGAGTCTCACATGGTTATGGAGGACTCTGGGTGCAGCACGTGTGCATCCGAAGATGGGACAAGCATCGAGGACCCATTGCAAAACACAACGTTGTCTGGCACATCAGGCCAGCACTCGGACTCACTGAGCACATCTGCAACCCAAGACACATCTGCTGAGCATAGCTCAGTACCAAGCGAAAAACCTCCTACCCCGAAGCTACCCGAAGACAGTAAAGTGCCATACAGTAATGGGATGTTGAAAGAAGACAGCTCAGACTTGCGTCACGACAGTAACTGGACGGCAGAGACAGATGGAGATCATTCAGGAGGTAAGGGATAAGAAAAGCCTTCTACAAAACCACGGTGAGCAAGGGTTTTATGTGCTGTAACACCTCTGATTCACAACACAATAATCGAATAAATTCTTTCTGTCGAACTTTTCGCAGTATATGAATCCTTGTCCTGCTTGTTCAGGTGGATGTAAGTGACAAGCACTGCCAGAACTGCCATTTCTAGAGGGTTCAGTGCTAGCTAGGTGATTTTCAGGCTGTGTTGAGCCTGGCTGCGCTCAGCACAACGCTGCTTGTCTGAAGTTAACTATGTGCTTGAGTACCATGGTGAAACGGAGCGTGTCGGGATGAAGGTCAGGCTTTGAACACCTTGCTGGTTTGAGAGCCGCTAACGCAGATCACTTCTGCTTCAGTTCGGGCTGCCCCTGGTAGGTGCTGGGTTCTTTCCTCTGCTTATGGGCTGCTGCTGAAGGGAGGCTGTAGGGCAGGTTTCTGAGATGCTACTGCATGAATCAGAGAAGTGCTCTGATGAATTGTGATAAAAATCAGTTGGTTGCAGACCAATAACCCTGAAGGCTTTTTGCTTGGAAGGGTAGGAGCACGACTAGAAATCTCAACAGGGAACAATGTTCATGAAGTTCCTCCATCTGTCTTGTTGCATTGCTTTTGCCTTCTAGATCCTGCATGGTGTGTGCCTGGCAGAACAGAAGCTGTCTGAATGCGTACTGACCCGTGCGACCTTGGATGTTAACATCCTTTGTAGGACCCCGTGGTGCCAACAGCTCTTAATGACAGGATGTCTCTTGTAATTGCTCCAAAGTAGTGGGGGTGCTGCTGCTTGTAAAATGTGAGGATGGGGATTGTGAAGTGTTTAGGATTAACTCCTTGAAACAGTCTCACTAGTGACAGTATATAAAGAAAGAAAAGGGTTTTGCCTTGCTGTGGATGCTGGTGTACTGGAGAGAGTGTGTGTGGTGCAGGAGTGTGTGGTGGAGCCTGTCTGATGACCAGCGCTCTGCACGAAGACAGCCGAAGGGTAGGGAGAAAGTTGTGGGAGTGCCTGTGCTGGGAAGGGCGCCGCGCAGCGCCTGGAGGTTCCTGTCATCCTCCTTGCTCAGGAAGTCGTCGCAAATGGCTCTGCTGTCACTGGGCTTTGGAAGCGCCTTTGCTCGTGCCCAGTTGAGATGTGGCAGACATAAAGCAGCTCTTGGGTTCTTTGTCTCGCTGGGCTTGCACTGGATGGTCTGAATGCGTATGAGCAAGTGAGGGTCTTTGTGCTGCTCCCTGTTAATCTGGAGGAAGGATCAGCTTTCTGATGCACCGACTGTATCTCAGAAGGAAAGTGTTTAAGTTCTTCCCTTTCGCAGGTAGGAATGTTCCTGACGCTGACTGCTGGGTTGAGAACCAAGCAGAGCTCAGCTCTTGCCCATTGCTTCTCGAGGTGTGTAATAAATTTGGGCAAGAGGCAGTCCCAGGCCTCTGCTAGCAGTGGGCACCTGTGGCACTTAGGGGTCTCGGCACTGCTCTGCAGCCCCAGTCCAGGCAGGTATCCGTGTCAGTGCACCAGGTGAAGAGGTTGCTTGTCCTTCCCTTATCTGGGATTTTTCCCATTGTTCAAGCCTTTCTCCGGGAACCAAAGGGAGTTTTGAGGAGGGTGTGTGACAAGGCTCCATTCCGTCTGAACCACACAACTGGACCGCGGTGTGGACATGTCCTGTGTGAATGTCTAGGCAAAGCTCTGCCAGCCTTTCTGAAGTGAGATGCTTTCTTAGCCTTGCGTCCAGCAGCTGGGTTGCCCCTGCGGGTTGTCTGAGCGCTGTGCCTGTGTTTCGTAGGTTCGGATGTAAATAGTATGGATTCTGTGGACAGCGGCTGTGCCCTGGGGAAGACGGAGGCTCACCAGAACTCCAAGCCAGGAGGAGAATCCAGCAAGTCCGAGCTCACCATCTGGGAAATAGAGGTTCCAAAGGTAATGAGCCACCGTCGGGCCACGCGTCCTGCCCTGCCCCACGTAGCAGCCCGCTGCAGTCTGCTGCTGGCTCAGCGCCATCCCGAGCAGATCAGCAGAGTTAAGCGTTTATCTCATTAGACCTCTGCAGAAATGAGCCTGTGCACACCTGTGAACAGGGGGTGTGGAAGGGCTGTGCCCAGGGTCACAGCATGTGTTAAACTCATTGTTTCCCTTTATGTTCTACCCCTGTGTCTTAGTCTGATGCTCGGGAAGCATTCAGGAGGCTCTGAGGTTACACGGTTACTAAGAGCAGGTGATTTTTATTCTTCTTTCTGCTCTATAGGGGGGTTATGTTTCACAGGCTGAATGCTGATCTGAGCTGTTCTGTGAAGCTGCTGCACTCTGTCTTGGTAGTGTGCTCCCTTCCTTTTGGATTGAGAGAGAAACAATTTTTAGGCCTGTCTATATTCATCCATTCTTCCCTGTTTCATACATGCAAAATGCCGCACGACTGCCACGCACAACGTGCTCCTGGAGCGCTCTCCTGTGCACTCCTGTTGACATAAGACACCAGCTCCCAGCAGGATGCACTTGGATGCCCCGTGCCTGGTGAAGACTGCAGCAAACGCTTTGGGACAGTGAAGCGCAGGCCTAAGAAAGCAGCTCTGCAGCAGCAGAGAGTGTTTAGCTGCTTAGTGAACACAGCTGTCGCTGTTTCCCCCAGGTAGCTAGCCCTGAATCCGGTAGGATTGTCCCTACCAGCTGGACTTGGGCCCAGCCGTTCTGCTCTGGTACTTGGTCCATAACAGTAGGTGGTGGTGGATGCCAGTGAAGTGTAAGAGAAAGCAGAGGTGTCTGTACTGCCCCGCACTGAGTAGTCCAAGGGCTCTCTAGTTTAGCAGGCACAACAGCCTGGTTTCCTCTCCTATGAATTTGTTTGGTCCTGCTCTAACTTGTTAACTTGTGTTTAATATGAGAAGACCTTATATTTTAAAGATACGTGTAGCATTAAAAATAAATAAATAAAAAGAGTGGTAGGAGGCAGATTCAAAGAGGAGGTGGCTGTACTCACTGCAGGAGGACTTTCCCCCCAGTTTGAGTCTGTCCTGTAAGATACAAAGATGGATGGATCAAAAAAAGTGGTGCTTCCTGACCTCTGTTTACCTTGATTTATCACAGACCAGCTGAACTCTGCGCCGGTCCAGCGTTGCCTTATGTGTGCTCTGCCTTGCACTATGTACTGCAGGAAAAGAACGTGGGAATAGTGCTGTTAGACTGACTGCTGCTTTCTTCTCTCTTTCCTAAAGCACTTAGTTGGCCGCTTGATTGGCAAGCAGGGAAGGTACGTGAGCTTCTTGAAGCAAACATCTGGTGCCAAAATATATATCTCAACACTACCTTATACCCAGGACTTCCAGATTTGCCACATAGAAGGTGAGATGTCACTGTATTCATGGTCTGGTATCAAAGCTTGGGGGCCCTTAATGAGATGGGCAGGGAATTTAAACAAGTTAAGTGGCTTCAAGTCCAGTGCTTTAAAAACTTTTCTGCTCAAGGACAGTGCTGTTACAGTAGTGGCAGATGCCAAATCACCTATGTCCTGGCATGTGAACCCTCTGTACTGGAGGTTAGAGTGAATTTTTAACTTCCTTGGTTTACTTTAACCAGCGCTCGGCTGGATCAGGTTGGGGCTATGGTGTATATATCAAACGAAACCTCCTTGAGCATCTTCTAATGCAGCCTGGGAAGGCTGATGGACTAAATGTGGCTTAAAAAAAAAATCAGTGCAGTTTAAGTGTATTGGTACGAGATGCTACAGCTGTTGGAGCTGGGGGCTGTCAGCCTGAAGTGCGCTCGAGGTCCCGCCGTGCGGTTACCTGGTGGGTCTGTAAAGCTCTGGGGCTGTCTGTGTAGCCCAGAAGGCTCCTGGCAGCTGTGGGGCTGTGGGCACAGGCTCTGCGCGCATCCTGGGTGCACGTGTCCATGCAACTCTGGGGATGATTTTGTTCGTTTGTTTTCCAGGATCCCAGCATCATGTAGACAAGGCGCTGAGTCTGATTAGTAAGAAGTTCAAAGAGCTCAGTCTCACCAACATCTATGCTCCACCTCCCCCTTCGCTGTTGTTCCATCCTCTCCCTATGACCTCCTGGGTGAGTCCCAGCTTGCTGGCTGTGCTGCTGTTGGGGTGGAAGGCTCTCGGTGGCGAGCGGCATCACGGCGTGCTGTGTCCTTGTGGCCCTTTTCCAGTGAGAGCCGATTCCCTCAAAAACAACTCTTTGGGTTGATGTGGGTCTATGTAGCCCAGCGGATGTGTAACCATTGCAGGTCAGTCCTTATCCACCTGCTGCTCCACTCCCTTTGCCTTTCTGCCTGAGCTGGGATTGCAGCAGAACACTCTGCCAGGCCGGGCTTAATGTCCCGTAGTTGCACACCTGGCCTAATAGGGTTTTGCCCGAAGGCAGACGCGCCTGCCCGAGGAGATGAGGCTTCAGTTTGCAGCCGAGCAGATTGGCTGCCTGCTTTGCTTAAGGGCCTCTTGATGTGTGATCCAAATGTTGCTGTGATCAGTTTTCATTACCATTATTGTTCAGAAATCCTGGAACTAGTCTTAATGTTTTACTATTTTAAGATACTTCATCTCACTCAGAGGAGGTTTCTATGTCAGTGTTTCCCAGAAGAGTTCTTACACACTTTTTTTTTTCTTTCCACATATTTAGAAATACTCCTTTACTTGCATTGTGCATCTAGAGTCTGTTGAAGTAACTGTGCATGTAACTATCTCCATGGGTGTTATATCAGGCTTTGTTCTGGAAAAGTGGGTTTATGCTGTGAAACAGAAGGCCTCTTAGATACAATCTGAGCTCAGTAATGCCTTAAGTTCTGTGAAGTTCCCCAACACGGTTGCTCTCTGATGGCCAGGGAAAATTATCTTCAGAAGAGACTTCTGCAACAAAATCTTAATTTGAACAGTCCCTGCAAAGGTTACCTCGATGTGGGAAACGCTGAGGGCAGGGAATCCCAGCAAGTCCTGCTGTGCCGATAGTGCAGCGTGACCTGGCCTGCACTGTTGCTCACGGATCCTTTGGGTAATGAGTTTGCTCTGTGCTCATGGGCCGTTTGTGTGTGAGATGGGCCCTTCTCCCCATCTGATTTCCTTTAGAAGGTCATAGAGTCGCACTGAGCTGCTTTCTGGTCGTGGCTCAAAAGAGCCTTTTGGAAGCAAGGCACCAAGTGGCAGGGTTTTCCCAGCGGGGGCTGTAAGCCTTGGGGTGGCTGGTGGAACCCAGGTGGATGCGTGTGTGTCGTGTGAGTGAGGCTGGGCCTGCAATAAACACTAACGGAACCTCCTCTTCCCGGCGGCAGCTGCTGCTCCCCGATGGAGTCACTGTAGAAGTGATCGTGGTCAACCAAATCAACGCAGGGCACATGTTTGTACAGCAGCACACGCACCCCACTTTCCATGTCCTGCGGAGCCTGGACCAGCAGATGTATGTCTGCTATACTCAACCTGGAATTCCAACCCTCCCAACACCTGTCAAAGGCAAGTGATTTAGCTGCTTATGGATTGCTCACTGAGGGACCTCTGGGAGGGTCTTGCAAAAGCTTGGCTGCCCTGAGTAAGAGTTTGGAAGTTTCCTGGTGTGTGAGAATGTGATTTTGATTCTCCATAAACAATTTTGCAGCACTGCTAGTGCTCGAAGTGCTGATCTCCACCAGCCCCCTGACAGTGAACCCTTCTTGTTGTGCTTTGCAGTTGGCGTTATCTGTGCGGCTCCAGGTCTGGATGGAGCATGGTGGAGAGCGCAGGTTGTTGGCTACTTCAAAGAGAGCGATGAAGTGGAGATCAGATACGTGGACTACGGAGGATATGACAGAGTGAAAATCGACACGCTCAGACAAATCAGGTCTCCAGCTCCTCTTCCATGGCCTGAGGCCCTATCTAGCTTGAGCTGCGTGATTGGAATCATGGGGTTTTCAGCACCGAAGTGGAAACGGTGGAACGGTTCACCCCAGCAGCGGGGTGCTCTCGCATGGCTTTTCTTGAGGGATTGCATTACTCAGAGTCCAGTGCTAATCACAAAATTTGTTGTGGCTGTTGAAAGCTTGGCTGATTCTTGACAGCTGTCAATTTTAAATTTAATTCCTTTTAGGCCAACCAATTAATCAATGCTGGAGAATACAGAACCAGTTTTAAAGCTGTTCTATTCAGGCTGACTCTCTTCTCTTTAAGGTCTGATTTTGTAACACTACCTTTCCAAGGAGCTGAAGTCTTGCTAGACAACGTGGTGCCACTTCCAGGTATGGAGCTCTTGAGACACTCTTGCCAGCTGTGTATAAGCAGTGATTCTGCCTAACCTTCCCCTGCTATTGCAAGTGCAGCCTCTGGGGTGACTAGAGCAAGGATTAGAAAAAAAGGTGCTTTATTCCTCTGTGCTAGCATGGCACAACCAGATTGACTCCAGGGCAAAGATGATAAACGTGCAGGCTTTCTCCTGCATGGAAGAGAAAATGAATTATGTTCTGCTAAACAGCAAGCTGGCAGAACTGGCAGGACATAACTGAAGTAGCTGTAACTATTTTGCTGCCTTCTGTTGTTGAGCATCTGTAAATAAACAGATGCAAACAGTCTGTAATCTGCTAGACCAGCACCACCGCTTCAGCCTGGTCCTGCTGGAGTGACTGATGTGTGCAGTTTTGTGCTCTTAAAAAAAATACCCTCCAAGCTCTGGAAAACTGTCAGTCACTGCCTAGAAAGGCTTCCTGCTTTTTCAGGTCCCAAGATGTTTGTGTCTAAAAAACCTGTCCTTTTGGTGCTACAGGGGTGAGTTCCAGGAACTAGATCTCATCACTGGCACTTGTGGGGGTGGCAAGACTCCAACTGCTGCAGCCCCTGCCAAAGCTGTAGACAGATGATGAAGTTTAAGCTGTTCCCAGCAGAGTTCAGGGTTCTGCTTGTGCTAATGGACCTCCCTCAGTATTTGGGGAGGCATCGGAAGTTTAGACAATTGCAGAGATGTCCTCAGGGTGAAGCTCAGAGGAGCTATTTGACTGGAAATAAGCAAATTTCCTCCAAAGGGAAGTGCTTTGGTGTCCTGTGCCGTCCCGGCCGCCGCTCTCCTGGCGGGGCAGAGCGTTACCTGCAGCGAGGTGCGCAGGGCTCAGCGCCGGCCCCGGCAGGCGCCCGCGGGGGAGCCGGCAGCCCTTGGAGCTGCTGGCAGGGCTGGGGTGCCAGCCGGCCGGTGCCACAAACGCTCCTGAGATCCTCTTTACAGTATTGCTCTCTGAGCAGGGTCAGCAAAGTCCTGGCGCCGCTGAACTTAGCTTAGTAAGGATCAAAATATTAATGGAAGCTCAAAGGTGCTGCAGAAAAATACTCTTGTGTCTTTAAAGCCTCCTAATTCATCAGCCGCTTGTGATCACATTAACTTCGCTAGCAGCTTGAAAAGCACCTTGTCCTTTCCCTTCAGCAGCACAGCAGAATTCTTGTGTTCAGCCTGATAGACTGCTTCCCACAAGTGCCTACGGCAAGAGTGGGTGAGGTTCTGGGGCCTAACTTATGTAGGAGGTCAGACAAGATTAGCTTAATAGCCCCATCTGGCCTTTAAAGCCTGTGAATGTCTCATTTGTTTTCTCATATTCTTTTCGTTTCAAAGATGAGGATCATTTTTCATCAGAAGCTGACACAGCTGTTAGTGAGATGACCAGAGGGACAGCACTACTGGCACAGGTACGTGTGAGCTGTCTGGAAAAGCCTTGCTGGTTTTTCCTGTGCTCGTTATCTGCTCCCG